GAGGTATCCTTGACGTGCATCAACCATCTGTGTCTCTATCACATCATATGAAATATGATGAGTTAGTTGTATTTTACGTCCGCTTCCACCGAGGTGATATCGCAGACAAGTATGAAATACCCCTCATCACTACAATTAACGTAAAATCGGCGTTTTTCGAAATTTGGTCAGAGAAATCCAATGCAAAGTAATGGCCGCCTACGAGTGGGTTTGCTCACCGACCTCCCACAATGCAACAGTGACACGCCCTTTTTTTGGAATGGGTGATTCATGTATAGTCTCGTTATATAGTTCATAGGTTTGTTTTAAAATCGATAGCATTCACGCTAGCCTTTGGTTTTATTTTATTAACCCCAGATTGTCTACATGTAAGTGTCTTCACAAAGCAAGTGCAAAACAGGTGGCAGTGTCTTATTGTTTTTCATAAAAGAAAAGTAATTTTTTATTATGGATATTTGTTGCCACCTAAATTCTTCTCTCAGGTTCTAATTTGCTTATTTTGTTTATGTGTGCAATAATATTAGGAGTGTATTTCTAGGGAATAATAAAAAATGATGCACTACCGGTTTATGGCTATCATTCCAGGTGTTATTCGAGATTCACAGACAGAACAAAGATTGAACGAGCTACTAAAAGAGTTGCATTACAGTCTGGTGAGAAGCAAACGAATGATGAGAGTCAATCTAGACAAGGTTTGCGATCAGCCGCCACTAAATCATCAACCACCCAAGCTGTCCACCTGCGAGGACATGTCTTTCCTCCTGTGTGCATTATCTACAGACTGTCTCTGATAAGCTGGTTTTAGCAGAAACTAAAGATGGGGGTAAGTTTTTATTATTTGTTTAACCGTTATGATTTAATATTGCCCCCCCCCCACCCCTTCTTTCCTGGCTATGCCCAGTGTTAGGTAGTGGAATAGGTCCATCACCCCTCCTCAGCGTGGCGTAAAAGGCGATTATTGGGGAGAGTGGTCGGGCGGCCGATAGGTGTTATCTATCAGCCTGTCATCAATAGAGTCGAGGGTTCGAGTCTCGTTCTCTGCGATCTCAATGACAAGGTGTGGGAGTAGCCTATCCAAACATTGTCCCCCCCCTCCTTTCCTGGCTATGCCCAGTGTTAGGTAGTGGAATAGGTCCATCGCCCCTCCTCAGCGTGTCGTAAAAGGCGTTTATTGGGGAGAGTGGTCAGGTGGCCGATAGGTGTTATCTATCATTCTGTCATCAATAGAGTCGAGGGTTCGAGTCTCGTTCTCTGTGATCTCAGTGACAAGGTGTGGGAGTAGCCTATCAGAACACCCAGGGTTATGTATTTACATGTGGATACATGTAGATAACATGTGGATTGGGGCAAATTGACCAGATTTACGGTGTCGACATGCCATAAAACAATATTCATTCATTCCATTCATTAGCTTTCCTGGCTATGTCACTGCAATGGGGTCAACCTCCCTGTATTGGTCTGTTATCAATGGGGTTGAGAGATGCAATCACATTCTCGATGACCTCAATGACAAAGTACAGTATTAGTAGTCTATCTGTTCACGTACTAACTACATGTATAATATCCAACTACTTTTATGTCCAGATTTAATTAAATTATTATTTTAACAAAACAAAGGGTTTTCTGTATTTTAAAATAGTTTTGAAATGTTGTTTTTAATTACAATACACAGGCATGATTTATATCTTTAAAAAATAACCAAACAATATATCTAAAGATAAATAAATGTGTAAATACTTTTCCATGTGTTGATTTTAGTACTTTGTTTAACTGTTTGTTTTATATGTTTTTATATTTTACATTCTAACTATTTAAGCATTAATTATTGCACAACTGTTACAGCAAGATTTAAATAAATTATTGATATAACAGTTATTAAAAATTAAAAAAAATGTTTTTTGTATTTTAAAAAAAAAAATTGGTATTGAAATGTTGTTGTAAATTGCAATACACAAGCCTAATTTATATCTATTTAAACCTTTAATACTAGTCATTAAATAAAAGATTAATGTTTTTAATTTGTTTTCATTCTTTGTTTGGTGATAGGGTGGGTTGCCAAGGGGGAAATTTGGTCTTTGTTCAATATTTATAGGACATTTATGATACGAGTTATCTCCCCTTATACCTTTTTACCTGGGACCGCTATTTGAAATATCACGTTTATGCATTGTTTTTTGGTTGAAATCAAATATGTCTATGCAATTATCAAATTTATGTATGATTTCTGATAATAAATTAAATTCAATATCAATACAATGATGCTGTATTTTCATAAATAGACAAAAACATGCTACGATGTGCAACATTACTGCTGTGTGGGCGCTTATTATTGGTCCTGTGCAAATACAAATTGGGATATTTCCATAATTTTTTTTTTCAAATGTTGCTATGCATTTTGGCAGTACACACAAAAAAAATCATTCACCTGCAGTAATTTTATCATCCAAAATCACGACTTCAAAGTCATGTTAGACAAGCATGATAAATTGACCCGAGACCCTGGGTAAATGGGTAGGTAATATTTTAAAAACTGGCAATATCTGAAGGTGGGAATATGGATTTTCCATCACTAGAAACCTTGTATTATAAGAAAATGGCAACATTTTTTAGACCCAGGGGAGGTGCAACAAAAATCGATTTCTAAGCACATTTTCCCTATACAGACGACACTCTAGTTGATTTTATGGGTATCACGGTCGCTTCTTTAGCAGAACGAGTGATTTTATATTGTATTTCATGTGTTCTGATGGAGTTGTCGATTTTTAGATCTCAATAGCCTTTATCTAACCTTCCTTCATTTGGCAAATCACTTCATTATTTATTCAAGTATCCTGGAATTTGTGTTGTGCATGTGTATAATGTTGTGGTGAATCTGTGGATGTGAAATTTATGCAATATTTTTGGATTACTTTTGGAGAATTATACACTTTTTGTATCCTTTTGAAACCAATAGTGATCAATGAAGTATGATAGTCAGACTTTTCTAAAACAGACTGAACTGAGTTCATTAGCCTTTTGTCTTATACTGATTATGTTCACTACACTACCAAGTTTTAAACAAGGTGTAATCACACTAACTAAAGATAAACTTCTTAGTAAATCACACTGTGATATTTTATTACCTGAACATAAAACATTTCTTAATACATCTACTGATTATATACTCAGCCAAATTAAAAACTTGACACTCAGGATTTTTGGGACTAGATTTTTAATATTTGGTTTAAGGCAACTATTTTAGTGTTATGTTGTGCACAGACGACCTTGACATCAACAGAAAGCAAGAATACGTCTCGACGAAAGTCCTTGACATTGATAACGTTCGTAATGTCACAGTACCCCCCAAAATGAAATTCACAGACTTGGAGAACAATCGGAATAAAGTGTTTAGTAACGGTTGTGGCCTCCTCTAGCGTCTCGTACTGCCACACAACGTCTTCTCATGGATCTCAGAACATTAGTAAACACTACCCGAGGAAGACCTCGCCACTGCTCAGCAAGAGCATGTTGAAGGTCCTGCAACGTCAGTGGTGGATTCACTTGCTGACGAACACGTCGACCCAGTTCGTCCCAGATGTGTTCAATAAGATTAAGGTCGGGGCTAAGCGACGGCCAATCCAGGACTTGGACACCAGCATTTCTTAAAAAATTCTGGGTAGCAATTGCTGTATGGGGTCGAGCATTGTCTTGTTGAAACGTTAGTCCAGGCCCATGTCTCTGCATAAACAGAAGAACAGGTTGCAAAATCTGATCCCTGTACTGGACAGCATTTAAGTTCCCTTGGACAACAACAAGAGGAAAATGTCCATGTGCACAAAAATAACCCCAAACCATGACGCTGCCGCCACCAAATCGGTCAACTTCTCTGACGCATACTTGAGTGTAACGTTCACCTCGTCTGCGGTACACTCGGGGCCCTGCCATCGGCAAATCTCAAAGTGAATCGAGATTCGTCACTAAAGACAACCGAATTCCACTGTCTTTGAGTAAATATTATGTGTCTTGTGGTCCACACAAGTCGGTTACGGCGATGAAGAGTTGTCAATATTGGTCCATTATAGGGCCTACGAGCTCGAAGACCAGCAGCCTGCAAATGATTTCGAGCAGTTTGTGCAGTTACCCATCCACCAAACATATCTCTACTTGTGGAGGTTGCAGTGACAAATCTGTTTCTAAGATGACGTAATCGTATTGCTTGATCTTCCTGGAGTGACGTCACACGTGGCGCTCCCGCCCTTGGGCGGTCGGCAATAGTTCCAGTTTGAAGCACTCTCATTCTAAGATAAATTATTGTCTGGCGTGAACAATTAAAGGCTCTTGCAACAGTGACCACAGACTGACCAGCATAGAGCCTACCTATAGCACATAGACGTTCTACATTTGAAAGGCGCGTCATTTTCTAACAAGGATGAAAATAACAATTTTAATTTTTTTTTCCAGTTACGTGTGCGTGTTTAGTTTAAGCAAACTTGCATCGATTGACCTCACGAGTTTGTGTTTGCACATGTTTTTTCAGGTTTTTCATCTTTATATGCTCAAACTGAACACGCACACGTAACTTGAACTGGAAAAACAAATTAAAATTGTTTTTTTCAAGGGAACTTAAATGCTGTCCAGTACAGGGATCAGATTTTGCAACCTGTTCTTCTTCCGTTTATGCAAAGACATGGGCCTGGACTAACGTTTCAACAAGGCAATGCTCGACCCCATACAGCAATTGCTACCCAGAATCCTGGATTGGCCGTCGCTTAGCCCCGACCTTAATCCTATTGAACACATCTGGGGCGAACTGGGTCGACGTGTTCGTCAGCAAGTGAATCCACCACTGACGTTGCAGGACCTTCAACATGCTCTTGCTGAGCAGTGGCGACGTCTTCCTCGGATAGTGTTTACTAATGTTCTGAGATCCATGAGAAGACGTGTGGCAGTACGAGATGCTAGAGGAGGCCACAACCGTTACTAAACACTTTATTCCGATTGTTCTCCAAGTCTGTGAATTTCATTTTGGGGGGTATTGTGACATCACGAACGTTATCAATGTCAAGGACTTTCGGTGAGACGTATTCTTGCTTTCTGTTGATGTCAAGGTCGTCTGTGCACAACATAACACTAAAATAGTTGCCTTAAACCAAATATTGAAAATCTAGTCCCAAAAATCCCAAGCGTCAAGTTTTTAATTTGGCTGAGTATAAAAAAGTTCAAACCTACAAGATGTGGATGTGCATCTGGAACCAAAAAGAAGCATAGGATAAATACCCCCCTCCCCCCTGTAAATACACAAATTACAGATGAGGAAAATGTGCATGTTCACAAACTAAAATCTGCCTATCAACCCAAATGTTTTAAAATAGAACTTTGGAACACACAATCATGCCGTAATAAGACTACAGAAATCTTTGATCTGATTATTGAAAATGACCAAGATATTCTTGTTATCACAGAATCATGGCTTAGGCCATATGGTGATGAATCTCATATTGCTGCCATGACACCTCTGTCTTATACATGTATCCACCTTGCAAGATCCAACACAACTGGTGGGGGAATAGCCCTTATTCATAAACGTTCTATCAAAGTTGAGACCACAAAGGACAGAGTCCAAGCCAAAACGTTTGAACAACTATCTCTGCGAATCACCACAACAACCAAATGTTTTACACTCATCTGTATTTAGACCACCACCTTCTTCTAGAAATAAACTTTCTACGTCAGATTTCCACACAGAATTCTCTTCTCTTTTGTCTGTACATTCTAAAATAAATACATTGATACTTGGCGATTTTAATGTTCAGCTCAATAATTTAAACAAGCATGATTAAAAAAAAGTGTTATCTCTGCTTGATCATACAGGATATAATCAACACATAGACCAAGCAACCCACAAGTCAGGAAACACTTTGGGCTGGGTAATTACTCCCTGTGATTCCTCTTTGGTGCAAGATATACAAGTTGAAGATAGGCAAATATCTGACCACTTCCTTATTACTGTTAACTTAAATTTGTGTAAATCTCGTAATCCACAAAAAAGTATTATTTGTAGGAATATTAAAGGGATTAATTGGGATTTTTTGAAAACTGATTTGTGCAGATCTAAGCTTGTGTTAGAACCCTTGACTGATGTTGATGAACAAGTAGACCTCTACAATAACACTCTCCTTGAATTGCTAGATAAACATGCACCTACTGTCTCTAAAACAATTACCATACGAAATGCACCGTGGTATAACAGTGATGTCCAACAGTCAAAATGTGTACGTAGACGAGCGGAACGGAAATGGCGTCAGACAAATCTAGAAATTCATCGTCAAATTCACCATGAATCGAAATTGAACTCATTGAAAGCCATCCAGCACGCTAAGCGATTGCATTGTCAAACATACATTCAGAACTGCTACAAGGATCCTCGAAAAATACACCATTTTCTAAAATCACTTCTTGGTTGTCCCAAAGAATCTAAACTTCCCAATACAGATTCTAACTTAAATCTTGCAAATAGATTTAATAGCTTCTTCCTCGATAAGATAGAGAAAATTCGTCATGGGCTTAAATCATCCACAAATAACACAGACAATGAGTCGGAATTCAAATTCTTCAGCGGCCAGCAGTTAGAGTGTTTCAGGCCTTTCAGTGAAAAGGAAATAAGAGAAGAAATCATCAAGTCGTCTAAACCTACAACTTGTCTTACTGATCCAATTCCCACTCCTTTAATATTTCAACTTCTGGATCAACTTATACCTTTTATCACTCTGTTGATAAATAACAACCTTGCTACTGGTGTATTTCCAGCAAAATTCAAATCAGCTGTGGTTCTTCCGCTTCTTAAAGATAGGTTGCCAGGCAACGAAACATACGCACACAGCAGCTAAATCGTCCGGGGAGTCAACAAGAGTTGTCGCATATTTTTACTTCTAATTAAGTAATTATCAGAAAACCATTAGAATTTGTTTGGTTTTTATAAAGTTCTGCCCCATGCTAATGTTTAGTATAGAAAACTTTTAACATCATGGATTTAGTTGCTCAAGTCATAAACATTCATTGAAAATCAATATAATTGTTCGTCTCAAGACCTTAAACTCTGTGTATCAATCTGAAGTCAATCGGATGATAACTTTAGCCTCTAGAGCGTCAGAAGATTTTTCAAAGTGATCAAGGGTCATAACTCTGGCAGAACTTATCAGAAATCGCCGAAAATCAATAGGCTTCTTCGTCTCATGACATTAAACACTGTGTATAAATTTAAAGTCAATCGGATATTAACTTTAGCCTCTAGAGCGTCCACAAGATTTTTCAAAGGGATCAAGGGCCATATCTCTGGCAGTAATTACCGGAAATCGCTAAAAATCAATAGGCTTCTTCGTCTCATGACATTAAACACTGTGTATAAATTTAAAGTCAATCGGATATTAACTTTGGCTTCTAGAGCGTCCACAAAATTTTCGAAAGTGATCAAGGACCATAACTCTGGCAGTAATTATCTGAAATCGCTGAAAATCAATAGGCTTCTTCGTCTCTCATGACCTTAAACACTGTGTATAAATTTAAAGTAGATCGGATATTAACTTTAGCCTCTAGAGCGTCCACAAGATTTTTTGAAGTGACCAAGGGCCATAACTCTGGCAGTAATTATCAGAAATCGCTGAAAATCAATAGGCTTCTTCGTCTCATGACCTTAAACACTGTGTATAAATTTAAAGTAAATCGGATATTAACTTTAGCCTCTAGAGCATCCACAAGATTTTTTGAAGTGATCAAGGGCCATAACTCTGGCAGTAATTATCAGAAATCGCTGAAAATCAATAGGCTTCTTCGTCTCATGACCTTAAACACTGTGTATAAATTTAAAGTCAATTGGATATTAACTTTAGCCTCTAGAGCGTCCACAAGATTTTTTGAAGTGATCAAGGGCCATAACTCTGACAGTAATTATTGGAAATCGCTTAAAATGAATAGGCTTCTTCGTCTCATGGCCTTAAACACTGTATATAAATTTAAAGTCAATCGGATATTAACTTTAGCCCCTAGAGCGTCCACAAGATTTTTTGAAGTGACCAAGGGCCATAACTCTGGCCTTAAACACTGTATATAAATTTAAAGTCAATCGGATATTATCTTTAGCCCCTAGAGCGTCCACAAGATTTTTTGAAGTGATCAAGGGCCATAACTCTGGCAGTAATTATCGGAAATCGCTGAAAATCAATAGGCTTCTTCGTCTCATGACCTTAAACACTGTGTATAAATTTAAAGTCAATCGGATATTAACTTTAGCCTCTAGAGCGTCCACAAGATTTTTCAAATGGATCAAGGGCCATATCTCTGGCAGTAATTATCGGAAATCGCTAAAAATCAATAGGCTTCTTCGTCTCATGACATTAAACACTGTGTATAAATTTAAAGTCAATCGGATATTAACTTTGGCTTCTAGAGCGTCCACAAAATTTTCGAAAGTGATCAAGGACCATAACTGGCAGTAATTATCTGAAATCGGATATTAACTTTAGCCTCTAGAGCGTCCACAAGCAATTGTGGACGCCGGACGGCCGGACGGACGGACGGACGGACGGGGGTGACGACAATATACGACCACATTTCAATGTGGGCGTATAAAAATGACAGCTTTGATCAGGATGTGCTCAAGAATTTCCGCCCAGTGTCCAATCTTCCTTTTCTATCCAAGGTTCTAGAGAAGGCTGTAAGCATAAGGTTAAAGGAACATTTGGCTACAAATTCATAACTTGATAAATTTCAATCTGCCTATCGCCAAAATCATAGTACCGAAACTGCCTTACTCAGAGTGGTTAACAATTTGCGTGGAGCTGTTGATAGTGATAACATTGCCTCACTAGTAATGCTGGACCTGTCGGCAGCATTTGACACTATAGATCACAAGAGACTTCTCCAAAATCTATCCAAATGCTGTGGGGTTGTAGACATGCCCATAAACTGGTTTAGGTCGTATCTAAAAGATCGGACCCAGTCAGTTCTAATCGGTGATGAGTTATCAGACAAAACTTCCTTGAACTGTGGTGTCCCCCAAGGATCGGTGCTCGGTCCTGTTCTCTTTGTGCTCTACAGCAGCCAACTAGCCTCTATAATTGAAAATCACAATCTTTCGCACCATTCGTATGCTGATGATACGCAAGTCATAGATATTTTTCCACCAGAGAGTAAAACAGATTCCTTTCTTAAAACAGAAAAATGCACACAGCAAATTAAAACCTGGATGACCTCAAGCATGCTTAAACTAAATGATGATAAAACGGAAGTAATGATCGTGGGTACAAGACATAATCTGCAGAAACTTGATTCCTCAACATTAATTATTGCTGACTCAGAAATAATAACTCAAGATAGGGTTAAAAATCTTGGTGTCTTTTTAGATTCAAGCCTAACAATGGAAGCTCATGTAACCAATCTGTGCAAAATCTGTTATTTTCATCTGAAATCCATCAGTTATATCAGACACCTGCTAACAAAAGATGCTACTCACACACTTGTCCGATCTTTAGTGTTTTCACGATTGGATTACTGTAATAGTATCCTTATCGGTCTCTAAACTTCAAGTTACCAAAATCTACTCTCTAAACTTCAAGTTACCCAAAACAATGCTGCCAGGATAGTTAGTCAATCATCCCGACGATCTCACATTAAACCCATATTGAAGGAACTACACTGGTTACCAATTTTACTCCCGAATTGACTACAAACTTCTTTGTATTGTTTATAGATGTCTTCACGGTTCCAGTCCTGCAAATCTATCAGAGCTAATAAACCATTACATACCATCCCGTAACTTAAGATCACAAGATATGTGCTTATTACGCATTCCAAAGTACAATCTACAAACTTTCGGTTCTAGAACATTCCAGTACAGTGCACCCTTTTTGTGGAATTCCTTACCCCATCATCTCAAAACAACTCCATCACTTGAATCTTTTAAAACAAAATTAAAAACTCATCTATTTACCACTGCGTTTTAGTTGGAGTGGATCAGGATTTGTGTGTAAATAGTAACCATAGAGTACATAGTACGCGTCTAGAGCATGCATTTGTGGATGGATTGGCGCTTTACAAATATACATTATTTTTTTTAAGACAATGAGTGACCAGTTGTTTTTGTGTTTCTGCAGATAAACCGCCTGTAAAAAAGTATCCAACAGGAGCTTTCCAATTCCCACAACCATAAATACCAATACTTCTTTGGCTTCAACCTCTTCATCTTCTCCATAACCTAAATAAACATACCCCGTGAAATGGCCATTGTGTTGGTTGTAATCCACTTGTTTTCTGATGGACATAGCATCTAACATGAGACAGCAACTGAAAAGAAAAATATTTTCTTATTGAGCATATTTTATTGGCACTTGCTTTTGATCTATGTATGCACCTTTTCACGTCAACAAGCAATTGTGGACGCTCTAGAGGCTAAAGTTAATATCCGATTGACTTTAAATTTATACACAGTGTTTAAGGTCATGAGACAAAGAAATCTATTTATTTTCAGCGATTTTCGATAATTACTGCCAGAGTTATGGCCCTTGATCACATCAAAAAATCTTGTGGACGCTTTAGAGGCCAAAGTTAATATCCGATTGACTTTAAATTTATACACAGTGCTTAAGATCATGAGACGAAGAAGCCTATTCATTTTCAGCGATTTCCGATAATTACTGCCAGAGTTATGGCCCTTGATCACTTCAAAAAATCTTGTGGACGCTCTAGGGGCTAAAGATAATATCCGATTGACTTTAAATTTATATACAGTGTTTAAGGCCAGAGTTATGGCCCTTGGTCACTTCAAAAAATCTTGTGGACGCTCTAGGGGCTAAAGTTAATATCCGATTGACTTTAAATTTATATACAGTGTTTAAGGCCATGAGACGAAGAAGCCTATTCATTTTAAGCAATTTTCAGCAATTTACGATAATTACTGCCAGAGTTATGGCCCTTGATCACTTTGAAAAATCTTGTGGACGCTCTAGAGGCTAAAGTTAATATCCAATTGACTTTAAATTTATACACAGTGTTTAAGGTCATGAGACGAAGAAGTCTATTCATTTTCAGTAATTACTGCCAGAGCTATGGCCCTTGATCACTTCAAAAAATCTTGTGGACGCTCTAGAGGCTAAAGTTAATATCTGATTGACATTAAATTTATACACAGTGTTTGAGGTCATGAGACAAGGAATCCTATTGATTTTAATTCAAAGAATTCCGATAATTACTGCCAAAGTTATGGCCCTTGATCACTTTGAAAAATCTTGTGACCCTCTAGAGGCTAAAGTTATCATCCGATTGACTTCAGATTGATACAGAGAAATTAAGATCTTGATACGAACAAGTAAATTTTTATGACTTGAACAGCTAAATCCATGATTTTAAAAGTTTTGTATACTAAGCGTTAGCATGGGGCAGAACCAAACAAATTCTAATGGTTTTCTGATAATTACTACATGAGTTGTTACTCTTAATCAGAATTTAGTGTATTATAAATGTTTCATAACCGAAAAAAAAGTAAAAATATGCGACAACACTTGTTGACTGCCCTGACGATTTAGCTGCTGTCGGCGTATGTTTCGTTGCCTGACCTTAAGTCAATAAAATATTTATACTTTATTTAAAAAAAAGTAACCGCAATATTAACTAATCTTGATATAGATTTTATGAAAGATAGTTACTTGGTATATTTCTCTGGTGACATCTTGCGATTTTCGGTAGAATGATTTCGCAGTGGAGAGACGACCTGAGTAGTATTTACACGTGCGTCTTGCTATGATACTCTGAGCGTAAAACAATCACGTGTTTGTTTAGACCACATCGTCAAAACAACTTGTCTATGGCGTAGAGGACTGCGATATTATTAAATGTAGTGTAAAGGAAATGCGAAACGTGGGTCATTCCTGGTGAAAGTATGCATCGGCGGATGGTTCTTCCGTTAAAATTTATTTGTAATAAAGTTTATGACTTTCTAGGCGTTTTTTTCATCCTGCTTATTTTCAATGCCTGTGAAGTGTCCAGCAAGAGAACTGCGCCTTCTATCATCACAATTAATTAAAATAATTATTCAATATTCTAATTTATTTATTTTGCATATTAATATAAATCAAACCAAATTATGAAATAGATGCCAATTGATATGTATAATAATTGATTTTTTTAATATGTTGTTATGTTAATTTAATGTCATTGTATATGTTTTTGAACTGCCATGTAGTTCCCCCCATTTTGTTTTGTTACTATGATTTTGACTTGTTGTTTCATGTACATTGGTTAGAGCCATCGTTATCAATTGCGATCTGGGTCGGACTAAACGTCTGCTACATATTGCTTGATAGGTATCTAAAACGGTATAAAAGTATCTGTGTATCAGAAATGAACAGTACTCTTTCTGTACATTTCTGATACGCGGATACTTTTATGCATGTATTGCAAATAAACAGGACAGTTTTATCAAAGGTTGCCAGTGGCAACGAGTAGAAGTGGGATGTAACTTTCTTAAACAACTCCCATGGCATGTCTACAAATAAATTAAAAGACATTATAGCTATATGTAGGATACCTGCATAAAGCTCATGGGGAATTATATGTATATACATGTGTAAGCTTACATATAGAAAACAATGAAACTTGATAGGGTGGCCCATGCACCTACAGAAATACAGTCAACCGCTGATAGTTCGAGACTACCACTGAAGCGTGCACATTTATTGTTGACGATTTTGAATAGCAGTAAAATTAAGCTTCTTGGTTATTACAGCAGATTTAGAAATTACGTTCGTTTCATTTTTTAAATCGCTTTATCATTAACTGTACCGTTAAGAGCGGCATCTTTTGATTTAGTACAAATACTATCTCTGAAACACTCAGGTTAGACAGGAACATGATACTAGCAGTAGTTTCATTTTACTTTTACAAGCTTCTTAAAACAATTGTTGAGCTAGCTAACGTGCTCATTTCTTAATTCAATTTCTTGTTCTAGCTTTCTGTTATGTTTCGTAAAAAAGTAGTCTTGATTATCCCGACCTGTCAATCAGCCTTAGAATGGTCGATAGACTGGTTAAGCGACTCTAATTTCAAAACAACGGCACGTAACCTATCTTTTACTCAAAAGTGTCTGGATGTTATGGACGACACATGGAACCAGTTTTCAGTCTATTATTTATAGATGATTAATGGTCATAGCTTATTAAGTACAACATGAACGTTTATTTAGTGACTATAATTGTGTGAAACTGATTTGAGGCTTGGCATATATATAAATATTGTGGCGAAATTGTCGAGATATATGGAGATATTTATTTATGGTGGGTCACCCTAAACTTGATAGAAAGGGTTATGCTGAAGGAAATTTTAATTATTCATTATCACAATAAAAGGAAGAAGTATATCTCTTACCCCCAAAGGAGTCTAATTTTGTTTTCAGTTCAATGTTGATATGGTTTTCTGCATACAGCTTATCTGTTTGTTTCTTGCAAGATGTTTTGGCTCTCTGCTCCCTTTTAACCGCATTTTTAAATTTTTTCGTCGTGTCATCTAACTTTTCTTGTGGCATACAGTTTACGTTTCCACTTCATTGGAGATACTGAATAATTGTGATCCTATGAAACAAAAAAAAAATAACTTACTTTTATGAAAATGAGGTAATCGAATCAAGTATAGACTACTGCAAGGACAACTCACAGGCAGTTTGTAAAGCTTGTAAACTAGTTTAGTCCCTCTGGATTTTTCTGGTGTGGGTTCCCTTTGTCAGTTATGGACGGAGGGTTTGGCCAGGAACAGCATCAAGTCGGTCAGATGGGATAAAAAAGACCCTGAGATCTCGTGCACACATTGGCATGCACGTTAAAGAGACCCTGACAGTTGGCATTCGAAATAAGAGTAGGGAGTTGCGTTGCTGTCCGGGCAAAATTTCCCTCATCATAGCACACTGCATGGCGTAAGCGGCCTTCATTTGCTCGGTTGGTGCAGAAAAGTAGGACATTAAATCCCATTACATTTCATTAACTAATTTAGTGCTAAATAACATATCTTGTCAGCAAGATAGACTATTTTAATGGAATTTCTACAATGCCTGATATACTATAAATATATTAGCTTCAATATTTAAATAAAACATTCATACAAGAAGCTGAAGAACACACTATAAATATAGACTAAACACACTATAAATATAGACTAAACACACACACTATAAATATAGACTAAACACACTATAAATATAGACTACTAACTGATTCTACATGTTCATCAGGCTTCATGCTTGGGACAGTTTCTTCTTGGAAATCTTTTGTGGCCTTTGTGTATTCTCTCACCTGCAACGAATTTTCAGTTTTCCTTTCATTTACTATTGGAATCTAAAATATAAAAAAAATTAAATTAATTACCAAACAATTTTTTTTTTATCTTTCACTGAAGAATAATTAACTGGTATAACTTTTTTTCAAAATCTATAGATAAGAGCAAAAAATAACAAATAAGATGTTTTACCTGAAGATGAGCTGGAATATTAAAAAGGGTGGGCATAGCCCCATCCCTCAATCGGACGATTTGCCCAGTGCGGTCAAAATTATCCTCTGTGAAGTGGTCACTACATAGAACAGATCCAGAACCTGCCTCACGTTCCCAACGACAATAAGTCATCCAAGTTTTAAAATTTACAGGATGTTTTTTCTTGTCTGGAAATCTGGAATAAAACATTTGTTTATAAAACTTAATTGTATAGACACTGCAAAAATCCTCATAACATAAAGTACCGCTGGTTGAATAAGTATGTCAATCATGCAGATTGATAGGCCTTAGGCCTACACTCTATACTTCGCTAACCCTGTTCTGTGAAGCGTAACTTCATCGATAGATACATGTGTTGGTTGTCCGAAGTTTCAAACTGATCCTAGGCCTATATGATTCAGAACTTCGGCCTTACATAAACATCTTCGATCCATTTCTATATAGGTCCACCAGGCTAGAGTATGACAGCAGACTATGTTCGGCTTGGCCCATCAAGATTATTATTAAACTAGATCTAATTGCTATAAAATTTGAATAAGTATAGTTACTTACTTGTGAAATGATAATCCCTGTAATTTAGTGAATTGATTTCGATAATTGTAGCAATTATATGCGTAACACCCTGTCCCTTTGTATTCTTTGACAGTTCCATTGCCATTGGACGCCATATTTTGACAGCTCATTTGTCCAATATGGCGGCGGGGAATGCTGTCTGTCCGTGACGTCATGTCGATCTAGTCTTTAATAGGATATCTATGGTCGCGATCTTTATTGTTTACATGCAAAGAGTTGCTTCCCTTAGTTCCATAGTTTGGGCGAGAAAATTAAAAAACTGTTTAAAAATGCGGTAGAAATCTATTACCCCGCAGTAGAGCGGTACATGAGGCCTTTTCGCGGCACTTTACCGCGTGATGCGGTAGAGTTGACAGGTCTGGTTGCCAGTTTGATCGGGCGAATCTGCAGCTAGGCGAATAGGTTGCCAATTTGTGTTCGGTCCAGCTTGATCGGTCGAATCTGCCGCTAGACTAATAGGTTGCCAATTTATGTTCGGTAGTTGCGGGGAGGGCCAGGATTGCTTTCAATATCACCAGAAACTAAAAGGGTCATAGATATAATATACTATTCAAAAAAAGTAGGGGATATTTGATTTTTAAGTGTTATTAAAGTCACCTAATGAAACTGACGAAGAAACAAATGACAAAATGAAATGAAGTTCACATTCATCGATTTATTCCAAATGATCGTTAGACTAAGTAAGGCACAGACTGACCATTATAAGGGTAAAATGATACCCGGGGTCAAACAGCAAAGTTACCACAGCATCACAACCAAGTCAGTAACGGGTAAATCCTCCTCTGTTTGCCAAACAAGCATTGATCCGACGTGGCATACTCCTAATGAGACGTCTAAGGTCATTTTGGTCCAGATTGTCCCATTCCTGTTGCAACGCAGCAGCAAGTTCTTGAACATTGGCAGGACGTTGTTGACGTTGACGTAACCTCTGTCCAAGCATGTCCCAGACATGCTCGATGGGGGAGAGGTCGGGACTCAGTGCTGGCCAAGGTAATGTGGTGATGTTCTGTTGTTGGATGTAACCTGTAACGATCCTGGCCCTGTGACATCTTGCGTTGTCATCCTGGAAGATGAAACGGCGGCCATGACGTCGTGCGAACGGCACAACATGGACTGCCAAGATGTTGTCCCGGTAGTACTGGCCTGTAACACGCCCTGCAACAACATGTAAAGCCGTTCTTCCAGCAACAGTGATGCCTCCCCACACCATAACAGAACCACCCCCAAATCGATCATGTCTGATGACGTTAACGTCTTGGAAGCGCTCGTTTCGACGACGCCACACCCTCCTACGTCTGTCCAAAAAATCAACAGTGAACCTTGACTCATCTGAAAACATCACATTGCTCCAGCGTCGATTATGCCAGTGTTGACGATCCCTACACCAACGACGTCTTGCCTGAATGTGATGATCTCTCAAACAAGGGATCACGCGAGGACGTCGGGCGCGAAGGTGACCCCTATGCAGTCGATTCCGAATCGTCTGGCCACTCACTCTCACACCAGTGTCTGTTTGAAGACGAGCGCTGATCTGATTTGCTGTGATGACACGATTTCTCAAGGCCAAGGTACGGATAAATCGATCCTGGGCTTGAGTTGTCGCCCTTGGTCGACCTGAGCGTGGTCTGTCTTGTACAGATTGTGTATCACGGTATCTGGACCATAGCCTGCTTATGACAGACTGAGAAACATTCATCGTCCGCGCCACAACCGCCTGTGTTGTGCCGATCTGTAGCATGCCAAGGGCACGTAACCTTTCATTTTGGGTAAGCCGACGCATATCAAAATATGTTTTCTGGTCACTAAAACAATTAAACTGATGTTTCCACCCTGGAATTCAATGCCACAATGACTGTAACATTCAAAGTCAGAGTCGTGCAAATCTTGGGTTGGACCCCCATGATGATCCCAAGCATCACCTGCATTCCATACGGTAGCTATTGGTGCGTTTGGGCGTCACATGTAACTGGAAATGTTTCTTCTGTTAGGTTCTATAGTGACTTTTTTCGTAGTCATTTGCATATTTTAGTATTATGCCCCGAAAATCAAATATCCCCTACTTTTTTTGAATAGTATATTTGGGACATATTGAAAAAATAACAAACAACAAGCAAAACTATAAACAACAAGAAAACACACAAAAACATAAAATTTTTGATACATTATAATGCATATTTACAAAAATATTGGTTATGACATGTATATACATTAACACAGCTGCAGCAAACAAGAGCCATAACTCTGGAAGTAATTATCGGAAATCGCTGAAAATCAACAGGCTTCTTCGTCTCATGACCTTAAACACTGTGTATAAATTTAAAGTCAATCGGATATTAACTTTAGCCTCTAGAGCGTCCACAAGATTTTTCAAAGTGATCAAGGGCCATAACTCTGGCAGTAATTATCGAAAATCGCTAAAAATCAATAGGCTTCTTCGTCTCATGCCCTTAAACACTGAGTATAAATTTGAAGGACAATATTGGTCCACAAAATTTTCGAAAGTGATCAAGGACCATAACTCTGGCAGTAATTATCTGAAATCGCTGAAAATCAATAGGCTTCTTCGTCTCTCATGACCTTAAACACTGTGTATAAATTTAAAGTAGATCGGATATTAACTTTAGCCTCTAGAGCGTCCACAAGATTTTTTGAAGTGACCAAGGGCCATAACTCTGGCAGTAATTATCAGAAATCGCTGAAAATCAATAGGCTTCTTCGTCTCATGACCTTAAACACTGTGTATAAATTTAAAGTAAATCGGATATTAACTTTAGCCTCTAGAGCATCCACAAGATTTTTTGAAGTGATCAAGGGCCATAACTCTGGCAGTAATTATCAGAAATCGCTGAAAATCAATAGGCTTCTTCGTCTCATGACCTTAAACACTGTGTATAAATTTAAAGTCAATTGGATATTAACTTTAGCCTCTAGAGCGTCCACAAGATTTTTTGAAGTGATCAAGGGCCATAACTCTGACAGTAATTATTGGAAATCGCTTAAAATCAATAGGCTTCTTCGTCTCATGGCCTTAAACACTGTATATAAATTTAAAGTCAATCGGATATTAACTTTAGCCCCTAGAGCGTCCACAAGATTTTTTGAAGTGACCAAGGGCCATAACTCTGGCCTTAAACACTGTATATAAATTTAAAGTCAATCGGATATTAACTTTAGCCCCTAGAGCGTCCACAAGATTTTTTGAAGTGATCAAGGGCCATAACTCTGGCAGTAATTATCGGAAATCGCTGAAAATCAATAGGCTTCTTCGTCTCATGACCTTAAACAATGTGTATAAATTTAAAGTCAATCGGATATTAACTTTAGCCACTAGAGCATCCACAAGATTTTTTGGAAGTGATCGGGGGCCATAACTCTGGCAGTAATTATCCGAAATCGCTGAAAATCAATAGGCGTCTTCATCTGTGGTTGAAATGTGGTTGTATATTGTCGTCAGTCCCGTCCATCCGTCTGTCCATCCGTGCGCCCGTTCATCAGTCCGGTATCCACAATTGCTTGTGGATGCTCTACAGGCTAAAGTCAATATCTGATTGATATTTCAATGTGGGCGTATAAAAATATTTTATATATACGATCGTAGCATACATAAAATATATCTTATACAATATATTAACTTAATTCAAATCCAGCATTTGATTCAATTGCGTATAAAAGTTTATGTCGTAGTTGATTTTCTTCTGTAAAGTGTGGCAGTTTTAATAAATTCATACAAGTTGAGGCTGTTGGCAGTCGATCTAAATCCTGGCCAGCATCATGTATACAAAAAGCTGGGTATAAATCCTACAATAGATTATAATTATACTAAAACACATAGTCATGGATTAAAGGATTATGAGAAGATAAGACAGCATTACCACTTATTGAAACAAAGAATTTGAAACTATAGGTAGGTAAAAGATAGGTTTCCAGGCAACGAAACATACGCCCACAGCAGCTAAATCGTCCGGGCAGTCAACAAGAGTTGTCGCATATTTTTACTTTTTTCGGTAATGAAACATTTATAATACACTAAAATCTGATTAAGAGCAACAACTCAGAAAAACCATTAGAATTTGTTTGGTTTTTATAAAGTTCTGCCCCATGGTAACGTTTTGTATACAAAACTTTTAATACTGTATCATGGATTTAGCTGTTCCAAGTCATAAAAATTCATTGAAAATCAATATACTTGTTCGTCTCAAGATCTTAAACTCTGTGTATCAATCTGAAGTCAATCGGATATTAACTTTGGCCTCTAGAGCGTCCACAAGATTTTTCAAAGTGATCAAGGGCCATAACTTTGGCAGTAATTATCAGAAATCTTTGAAAATCAATAGGATTATTCGCCTCATGACCTCAAACACTGTGTATAAATTTAAAGTCAATCAGATCTTAACTTTAGCCTTTAGAGCATCCACGAGGTTTTTTGAAGTGATCAAGGGCCATAACTCTGGCAGTAATTATCGAAAATCACTGAAAATGAATATACTTCTTCTTGTCATGACCTTAAACACTGTGTATAAAATTTAAAGTCAATCGGATATTAACTTTAGAGCGTCCACAAGATTTTTAAAAATGATCAAGGGCCATAACTCTGGCAGTAATTATCGTAAATTGCTGAAAATCAATAGGATTCTTCGTCTCATGACCTTTAGCACTGTGTATAAATTTAAAGTCAATAGGATATAATAACTTTGGCCTCTAGAGAGTCCACAAGATTTTTTTGAAGTGATCAAGAGCCATAACTCTGGCAGTAATTATCTCATGACCTTAAAAACTGTGTATAAATTTAAAGTCAATCGGATATTAACTTTGGCCTCTAGAGCGTCCACAAGATTTTTTGAAGTGATCAAGGGCCATAACTATGGCAGTAATTATCGGAAATCGCTGAAAATCAATAGGCTTCTTCGTCTCATGGCCTTAAACACTGTATATAAATTTAAAGTCAATCGGATATTAACTTTAGCCTCTAGAGCGTCCACAAGCAATTGTGGACCACAGACGGATGGACGGACGGACGGGGGCGACGACAATATACGACCACATTTCAATGTGGGCGTATAAAAAGTGGTTTTGAGATTATGATTATACATTTGATTTTATTAGCTTTTCAAGTAGGTCTCATCATTCTTCTTACAAAACTTTTTACAGATTCAAAATCGGATGGAAAGGTTTTTTTTTTAATGGAGGCTCAGAATTGCGATTTTTGACTTTCACCAAAGAAAGGTTTTTTCATGTTTTGAAAGATAGGTTGCCAGGCAACGAAACATACGGCCACAGTAGCTAAATCGTCCGGGCGGTCGACAAAGGTTGTCCCATATTTATTCCTTTGTAGGTAATTGGGGGCCTTTACAAGACCGTTCCATACAGATCAGATTATAATTTTTGCCGTTTGAGGGTTCACAAGGTTCTACAAACTGAAACAAGGATCTCAACTCTGGAAGTTGTTGAAATTTGACCGGCTTTTTCATTTTACTAATTTAAATAATGAATATAAATTTCATACACATACAGATTAGATGATCACTTTTGTCACAAGATTCACAACCGCCATAACTCTAGAAATTATTGACAGAAATTGCTGAAATTCAATAGACCTCTGTTTCACAAATTTGAATGATGCATATAAATTTCATACATATTGGATGATAACTTTCATCAATCGAGCTTTAACAAGGTTGAACAAAGTGAAACAAGGGCCATGACTCTAGAAGTAATAAACGGAAATTGCTGAAATTCAATAGGATTCGTCTCTTTACTAATTTAAATGACGCATGTAAATTTCATACAGATCGGCAGATAACTTTTGATGTTAGAGCATTCACAAGGTTCAATAAAATGAAACAAGGGCCATAACTCTAGAAGTAATAAACGGAAATTGCTGAAATTCAATAGGATTCGGCTCTTTACTAATTTAAATGACGCATGCAAATTTCATACAGATCGGCGGATAACTTTTGAAGTTAGAGCGTTCACAACTTTCGACAAAGTTAAACATGGGCCATAACTCTAGATGTAATAAACGGAAATTGATGAAATTCAATAGGCTTCTTCGTTTTACTAATTTAAATCATGCATATAAATTTCAGAAAGATCGGATGATAACTTTTGGCGTTAGAGCGTTCACAATTTTCAATAAGTGAAACAAGGGCCATAACTCTTGACGTAATAAACAAAAATTGCTTAAATTCCATAGGCTTCTTCGTTTCACTAATTTAAATAATGCATATAAATTTCAGAGAGATAGGATGATAATTTTTGGCGTTGGAGCGTTCACAAGGTTAAACAAAGTGAAACAAGGGCCATAACTCTAGAAGTAATAAATGTAAATTGCTGAAATTAAAAAAGCTTCTTCGTTTCCCTAATTTAAATATTGCACATAAATTTCACAAAGATCAGATGTTACCTTCTTCATCTCACTTATGCAAACAACATATATCAAAACAAATGGATTATAAATTTTGGCTTTACAGCGTTCACAAGAAATTGTGGATGATGGATGGACGGACCGACAGACGGACGGACGGGGGCGATGGCAATATACGTCCACATTTCTATGTGGGCGTATAAAAACGCATTTTTTTTGGGGGGGGGGGGGGTTGTGATGCTCTATTCCATTTCATAGTAAAACTATCAGAAATGTAGCTGTAAATTCATGCAATTCAACTTCAAGACTAATTATGTTTCAATTTTCACATTTTTATAACGATTACTCCGATTTCCCCAGCAACTCCTAAATACACAGGTTTTCTCAAACTCCCATTTTGTCAAAGTGATTTTGGTCTAATTTTTCATCAACCAGCGGCTAATGGATGGACGAACCGACAGACGGACGGACTGGGGCGATGGCAATATACGTACTTGCACCGTACGTAAGTATTCCTATAAATGGTCAGTAATAATCATAAGGCGAGTATTTAAGTCAATTGGTTAGTATTCCTTACTTGTGTCAGTATGTAAAAATAACGTGAGTAATTAAACAAACATGAGTTAAGCCGACCATATCACTAGTCAGGCGCGTGCGGGAGAAATTGACAAAAGCGTGACTAATTAAGAAACCGTCACTGTTTGAGCTCTGGGTCACTATCAGAGTGAAACCGCCAGTTATGTTTGATGTGCGTCAGTAACTGGACCTGATGCCAGTAGAGCGTGAAATCATTAACTATATAAATTTCTGGTGAGTATTGTTAGTGAGTATCATCGCTACATTCTGAATAAATTATTAATTAATTATTTACTAATATTCTCGAATCGGGAAATGTTTTTAAACAATAATGGATGGCAGTCAACAATATAGGAATATTTGTCGGCGATTTCGATTACCGCCGTAGTCTGCAGAGTACGGCACAATGTGTAGTGTTATTTAATTTACAATTTATATTTATTCTCGTTATATAACATGCGGATTGGCACATGTTTTGGGACTTGCGGCACTTTGATATCGGTATGGATTAAATTTGGAATCACTGTATGGATTAAATTTGGAATCATTTTATGGATTAAATTTGGAATCACAACTAATGGTTAAAAAAAGATCAACACAAATCTGTTTTCACTAATTTTATTGAAACAGATAATATGATAGCAGATAACAGAAATAATGAATTTCATATACGTACATACAAGCTGAAATTCTGATCACTGAACAACCGTGTGAATATCTATATACATTATTATTGGTATCTTCAGATTTGCAACATATTACAAACCGATTCCTGATAAAAAAAACCCTAATAAAAACCCATATAATTCAAACGTCAACCCGACCATTTCAAGAATTGTCTGTGTCAAGGCGACTGCAGTTCGGTTGCTTCATTTTAAAGATAACTGATATTAAACTATACAATTGACTGAGCTATTCTGGGTTCATATTGGAAATATTTTGGTATCAAGGCAACTGGAGTTTGGTTGCTTTATTTAAAAAGATAACTAATATTAAACTATAAAATTGACTGAGCTATATCCGTTTGAGGTTGTTTGAGGAAAAGCAAGTTAAAGATATCGTTATGTTCTATAAAAAAATCACATAACAACCACGCCATATATTTGTTAATTTTTGTTTAATATTTCTCTCGGTGTTATAATTTAGAACGAAAGAGAATAGTCCATACATTAGTAATGTAGGTCTTGTATATTAAACTTTTATGGGAATAAAATTTTTTAATCTCACCACTTGGGTAATCGAGTTTAGTTTCTTGATTATCAAAGAAGCTGTCACAGCTAAACGTATATTCTGTGACCCTCGTAACATGACTCAATTAAAATAAGGTTTTGTGTGTACGATAGGTCTACTTTTATTTTCAGGTACCCGAATGGTATCAGAATCCGAACCCCAGATAGGGTAATGAACGCAGCCATGATACCACAATGGGCCGTGCCGGGTGTCTGGACCGAACATTTTTACGTATTGTATGGGTTTTAAAGCTTGTTTGTATTCGTTAAAATTGGGATTATCGGTAATTCATAAACTAGAGATTCACGGCTTCACAACGATGCTAAGTATTACTTAAGGAGACTGATCGGTCGACCCTCTGCATTATCTATTTTTGAAATATGAGATGGGAAGAACGAGACAGAACAGATACAGGTAGACGAGGAGATAAAAAACCAGCGGCTGCCAGGCAGGATACGCCCACATTTTCGAGAGATGGATAGAGAACAAGCTAAAAAGAAAGTGATTTTTCCTACAATCAAGGGCCATAATTGAGGAAATTACATTTCAATATGCGCAAACATCGAAAGGAACCGAGATCTTTGGGTTATAAACTTACATTTCAAGTTTAAACAAAATCGGATAAAAA